TTGGATCATGAACAAGAACACCTTACAATCAGTGCTCTCAAAGGACTGGGCAGCAAAGACGAGGAGGTAGTGAACATCCAATCAGACGTTTTAGATCATAATCAATCTAACCCCAGTTTTACACCTGGGGCTACAGCTCCGAATCCTCCGTGTTCCCAGAGCAGCCATATCTGTGACAACACACATTCCAAGGAGGTGGAAGCCATAGATGAATGGGTAGCTGAAGCCTACCATCTTGCTGAGCATGTCTTGACAGCAATACTAACCCACTTCTCAGGTAACACCTCTTCTCTCTGGGCAGTATGCCTGCTAACCCCATGCACACTTCTCAAAAGGCCTTTCTTTGTCATCTTTTATTTTCTTCACTACTTCAAATGTGTTCTTAGTTTTCCATTTTATTTCTCAGCATCAACAGTCCATACTACAAGCCACACAGTTTGTAGATGTGCTTTATATTATTGTTTGGAGCAAAAACACCTTTTTCACACAATGTTCAACTCATTTGTAGTCTTTTTTAATAGTTCATTCAATACTGTTTTAGATGATGTAATGTTGCATCTTTGTTGTAGTTCACCACTATTCTATTATAAACATTTTCTGATATTTGTTACTTACAGATTTTCTAAACTTTTTTTGCAAATTAGAACACCTCTGTGTTGCCCTCCCTAGCCAAAGCAAGCAGCACTAGATTGAGTCAAAAAGCTTTTAGCCAATCAAATCACACTAATTTTATCACGCGACACACAAGTGTGTTGAGCAGAGGCCATGCAATTGTGGTGAAGGGTTCATGTGTACATTATCAGGCAGTTCGTTTTGGAACCTTCGTTGTGCACTAAATGAAATTGGATAAAGCCTGGTCACTTTAGATTTAGTCATTTTTTTGAGTGCCATGACCCCAAAGYCCTCTCTGCTCTGAAAACACATAGAGGCATTTATTTGCAGACGTCAAAAACGATGTAGTCTTCATTTGATTATATTTACACAGAGAAAACCCTGTATCCTAACATGGTTTGGTTTAAAAACAACTAGTAAGCGAAAAGTCTGAGGGACTGGTGGCGCAGAAATAAGAATCTGGATTGAAGTCAGAAAGAAGCTGGATGGCCACAGCAAAACAGCCTGTTCTGGTTTTCGTCTTTTGGAATATAAAAAAATAAAACCTTCACAGAGTATCAATTTTTCAAAATATATTGATATTCAATTCTGAAATGCATGCACACAGTCAGTGTAAACAAAGCACTCAAATAAATAGAACATTTCTGTGATAAATTTTTATTATTTTGCAATTGCTACCTTTTTGAGCTGCATTCTGTAAATAAAGAATAAAATTGCAATACTTACAACAAATAATCAGTTAAAAAGAGAAGATGGCGATGGCAAACTAAATCTGTAAGACTGCAAGTATCAGGAATATTCTAAGCAGCCAAACCTCAGTACACAGACAAGACTATGACTGCATATGACCCCGTGGTCCTCTTTGGTGCATTTGAGCCGGTGACCCACTCATGCTCTCTGCCCTTTTGCAACTTGCCAGTAGACTGGGAATGGATGGGGAGTTTAAATATGGTGTACTAGTCTTGGCTTGCAAAAATCCAAATAGTCATGCAGTACAGCTAATCTCCAGTGTCCAATTTCTACCTTCATGTCCAATACTTGGGTTTCCCTGAGTAGCATCTACTGACATAATTATAGTTGATTTTCCATTGTTCAGTCTCACCACGACTCCCGTCTGCTCGAGTCTGGTTTTCATAACCACTTTGATGTGGGCAGGATCATCATAGCTCATCCACCTAAAACTGCTGCACCAGTGTTTTCTATCAAAGGCTACCACGACACAGCTACAAACATAAGTGAAATAAAGTCACAAAGCACACATCATCCACTGCCATATTTTTAAAGAATTCAGTGATTGTGTCAGGGCCAGCTCTTAAATCAAGCTTGCTCTCTCTGAGTTCTGTTATTGGCCAATGAACATCATGATTCTGGTTGACATGTTGCCATTTTAATGGCTGTATTAGATATTTATTTAAAATGGAAATAACATAAATGAGTGCTGCAGTTTCAAGTTTTTAAAAAATTGTGGATTTGAGTCTTGTGGAGGGGACGCTCATGATTGACGTCTCTCTCTGGCCATTCGGTTGCCTACAGTCAGCTGACGCCATATCTTCATCTCAACTCACTTAGAACCTCATCAGAGCTGAGCTGGAAGTGGGTGGGATCACCCAGTGGAAAGACTCTGAGCTTAAACTAATTCACACTAACAGGAACGAGTCGAGCCCAGGCTTCTTTCTACTCAACACTGCTTCTTGTCTCTTCATTCAGTTCTCTGCAAAGCGATGGGGATCAATGTGACTTTAATGTTCTGTCAAAGTTCAATTGACTAGTTTTGCAGTGCTGTCTCTTTTCTGCAAACTTGATCTCCATTCCACACATATACACACAGGCTGGTATGTGAGCAGTAATCCTGCTGCATTTTGTACTCGGCTCGTATATTAGTCAACACCAAGAGCTGACAGGACACAACTCTGTGCTTGTAACCAGAAACCAAGAGTTAATTTGGAAGCAAAGGCAAAGAACAGTAGAAGCTACAGTTTGGATTTAAAGCTGTCACAATCATTGATCTTCTTAAGCTGTTTAGCAGGTTGATAATCATATTATTTGGTTTGGAATAAGAAGCTCTGCTTTTTGTAGTGCAAGTTCATAGATATAATTTTTTACTGACTTCATTTGACTCCTCAAAGCAGCTACTGTTGGCTCTTATACTTTCAACAAGCAACAAAAACATGCAGACAGCTTCTCCAGAGGTGTTCTCAAGTTTTATGGAGATTGTTCAGATGTGGAGAGATTCTGCAGGTAGAGAGGATGCTCAGTATTGTTTCAGTATTATTTGTGTGGAACTCGTAAGAGCAGTGCAGTGAAAGTAGGCTGCTGTGCCTCAGCAGAGCACAGAGGGCAGGAGATTTGGAGAGTTATATGAATAAGGGCCGTCATATACTCGTGCTACCCTGTGAGTACACATAAATACCCACAGTTCAAAGTGAGAACACTGTGTACAGTGTTCTTTAAGGAGATGGATATTCTTTTCATCCAYGTGCAGCTGAGTTTGATGTTGGGTTTCAGGAATTCATGTTTTCTCTCAGATCCCCTCAGAATGAATAATGCACAGCCAGGATTCTGTAGCGTGTTAGAAGAAGTGAGTGGTAGTTTTCACTTGTCAAACCTCTTCCATCATGGGCATCAAACTCATTTT